AGAGTCTGAATTTCCACCAGAATCTGGATTACCATCAGAGTCTGGATCATCAGAGTCACCTTCATCTTCTGAGTCTTCTCCAGAGTCAGAATCACTATCAGAGTCAGAATCATCGTCAGAGTTTACTTCAACTTCAGAAATTCTTAACTCTGACCTTTCTTCAGAAGTTCTAACATCAGAATCAGATTGAGACTTATCCCAATTCCAAACTTCTGATTCCTTCACAATCACATCTCTGCTGAATTCAATTTTATTGGTTTCTGGACAATAGAGCTTGTATGCACCTGTACTGTGGTACCCTATCAGAATCATCACTTTGCTTCTATCATCCAGCTTCTGTCTTCTGGCTTCTGGAACATGTTTATAGCAAACAGAACCAAACACCTTCAGATGACTAACACTTTGCTTATCTCCAGTCCACTTCTGTATTGGAACTATTTCCTTCAACTTCTTCGTAGGACATCTGTTGAGTACATACGTTGCAGTGGCAACAGCTTCTCCCCAGAGCTTCTGAGGAAGCTTCTTCTCCTTTAGCATACTTCTCACCATATCAAGCAAAGTACGATTTCTTCTTTCAGCAAGACCATTGTGTTGAGGGGTATAAGGAGCAGTAACCTCATGCTCAATTCCATTCTCCTCACAAAACTTCTGGAACTCTTTGGAGTTATACTCACCTCCACCGTCAGTTCTAAGAATCTTCAACTTCTGACCACTCTGATTCTCAGCCTTCATTCTGAATTTCTTGAATTCATCAAACACCTCGTGTTTGAACTTAATAAGGGATACCCATGTCATTCTTGTGAATTCATCAACAAATAGCACAAAGTATTTATTCCCTCCAATTGATGCTACTGGAAATGGACCACACACATCAGAATGTACAACTCCCAAGGCATGTTTTGCTCTTGGAGCAACTTCTGACGCAAATGGCAAACGTGGTTGTTTTCCTTCCATGCAAACTTTGCATGACTTCTCAGGCTTCTTAATTGCAGGAATTCCATGTACCAGCTTTTTTGAATTCAGATGTTTTAAGCTTCTGAAATTCAAATGACCAAATCTTCTGTGCCACAGCTCACTCTCCTTCTCAGCACATGTTGCACTAAGACATTCTGAGTCTGCAGTTCTGACATTCACCTTGAATGTTCTATTTCTTCCCTGTTCTGACTCCATAATCAACTTCTGATTGCAGTCATACAGCTTCAGAAGATTATCCTTCATGGTAACTGAAAAACCTTTCTCAATTAATTTTCCCACACTCATCAGATTGCTTCTGATGCCAGGTACATACCACACGTTCTGAATCAATGCTGTTTTCCCATTGTTCAGAGTCACTCTGACATTTCCCATACCTTCTGCATTAAGATATTTGTCATCAGCACATCTGATCTTTGTTCTCTTTTCAGAGTCAAAGTCAATCAGCCATTTCTTGTTTCCAGTAAGATGATTTGAACAGCCAGTGTCCATATACCACCAGTTTGTCAGATCATCAGATTCAGAGGCCATCAATAGCACAGATTCGTCATCAGAACTTCTGGCTATATTTGCTTCTTCTGATTTTCTCTCCTTGTTTGACCAACAATCTCTAGCAAAGTGACCAAACTTCTTACAACAGTAACATTGGATCTTCTTCTTGTCATACTTCTCTTTTCCCTTCTGAGCATTCTTTTGTCTATCAGAGGTTGAGCTTTCTGACTTCTGACCACCATCAGATCTTCTCTTGGCTTCTGACTGCTTCTGATACCTCCTATCAGAAGTTGCTTTCAGAGCCTGCTGCTCTACTTCCCTTTCAGAAGTTCTCTCAGTCAAATGCAACTCTTGCGCTTCTAAACTGCTCTGCAGCTCTTCAATTCTCATGGTACTCAGATCTTTGGAATGTTCTATTGCTACCACAATGTAATCAAATTGAGAGGTAATGGATCTCAATACCTTCTCCATGATTGTTTCTTCAGAAAGAGTTTCTCCACACGCCTTCATCTCATTAGTGATCAGAATCACTCTGGAGATGTATTCAGAAACTTTCTCATTATTCTTCATGTTGAGATTCTCATATTGCTTTCTCAAGGACTGAAGCTTCACCTTCTTCACTGATGCGTCACCACCATAACATCTAACCAGTGTGTCCCACGCAGCCTTTGCTGTCGTTGAATCTGCAATCTTCTCAAACACATTTACATCAACACATTGATGAATAAAGAATAATGCTTTCTGATCCTTCTTCCTTACTTCCTTCTGCGCGTTTTTCTGTTCATCCGTTGCATCTGCTGCTACCGGAACATAACCATCAGTGACAAGATCTAAAACATCTTGAGCACCAAACAGTACACGCATTTGGATCATCCAACGATTCCAGTTTTTACCGTCAAATACTGGAAGCTTGGTGTTCATGTTGCCGTTTCCGTTCATCTTCACCTTGCACAATACACTCAGATTTCTCACACAGTGTTTCCCAACCCACAGAATAAAATTCTGATCAGATTTTGTTCAAGATTCAACACGAATCTAAGAATCAAAATCAAACACACAAGACCTCACGATTCACTCGTGTTTCCCGTGTTTCCCAATAAATCTGAACCGGAGCTCTAGATACCAATTGTTGGTGCAAAGGTAGAATAAATGATGAAAGGAGAAATATTCTATTAAGAATGACGGCTACAAAAACATGATGATAGTTACAATGATTGTCACCCTATTTATAAGTTAAAACTAAGGTTACTAGAATAAGATAAAACACTAAAATACCCTCTAACAAAAAATAGTATAACTAAATAAATATGAATTACGGTTAATATTCTAATAATTTTATAGGTACCCATTAAAAATGGATCAAATTGTCATCCCCTAAGTAAAAATAATTTTAAAGTGATTTTCGCATAAAGAATTTCCAAAAATATTATTTAAATTATTCTATCGTAAACAAATGGGCTCTTATCGAGACTCACTTAAATTTTTGGTTTCACTCATTAAAGAAAAGCTCCGTCTCCTCATTTAAAGTTTAATTAATACACTTATTTAATATTTCACACTAATTAGAAAAAAATTATCCAACAACAAACCTTATCTCATTAGTGAAGTTTGCCACATGAATTAAATTTTGTCATAATATTTATCTAATATTTTGTTTTTATCTAATTTATTAATCTAAAAAAAATTTTTAATAATTTTTCTGTAGTTTTTTTTTTGTCATCATTTATCTATAATTGTTTGACTCTTCTGCATTTTATCTACTTTCATTATAACAAATTTACAAGTCTTTTCTTTTACCGGTAGAAATCATTTAAGCTTATTTTTCACTATCTTTTATACTTTAGATTTTATCTTCTAACACTTTTTTTAATATTATCATTTTTAATTTTATCTAATATAATCTTAATACATATCCAACACAATATCTTTATCTCACATGCACTTACTTTTTCATGTTGACTTTTAGTAGTCCAACATTTTGTCTTATACAATATCACAGGTCTTACCGTTATTTGATAAAAAATTTCCTTCCGTTTAACTAGTATTTTTGTGTCTTTAAAACTCCTAAGGCCCTCTTCCATTTTAACCAATCAACTTGAATTTGATGGTCTACGTTCTCTTTTATTTTTCCATCATTTTGCATTACAGATCCAAAACATTCAAATCACGTCACTTGTGGAAGTGATATGATCTCAGATTTTCACCTTTAGGTTAAAAACGTTTATCCTTGTAATAAACATACATTTCATATACTTCGTCTTACTTATGTTTAGGCGAAAGCCGTGCGTTTATAAAATTTGTCTCTAAATCTCAACCTTTCATTTGAATCTTCCTTTAACTCTCCAAGTATCATTACATCATCTGGAAAAAAAACGCATATTGATGTTAACTTTTTGACGTGTTTCGCGAGTACATAAAAAACTAAATCAAAAAAATAAATAAAGACTTACCCAGATTCAATCTGTAATATGAAAATCGTCCGACTGACCACATTTTATTTGCACTCTAATCGATACTCCTTTCTACATAACTCGAATAAATTTGTATACAAAAATCCTAAGAGCATGGTATGCCACATCTTTAAAACATCATCAATGGTGCTATATGTGCCACATCTTTAAAACAACTCATCTATTTTTTTTCTCCATTGATGTAACTTTGAAAAAACTCCAGGCTCCATAATAATTGAACAAATGCTAATCAAACAAAAATAATACATTACTTAACTATGAAATGTTTTAAAGTATGCTGCTCGGTGAAGCAACCGTAATGGCACATGTCATTATTAAGTTTTTTATTTTTTTTGTAAATAGGTCAACTATTACAGAACAGAGAAAGTATAAGAAAGTTAAAAAAAAAAAAGTGTGCTAGATAATGTACCATTACTTTAAATCTTAAACAGAAAAAAAGAAGCGATGATTCAATTGTATAATCTACTATTAAATCTGAAACATGGTGCTGCTATAAGTGGTTTTGAATAAATGAAATATTCTCCTTTCATAACTTTTGAATTGACCATTTTTTATTAATTGTCATAGCTGTTTAAACGTGTCTTTTGATAAGCTTCAAATTTATGTTTTCCTTTAACTTTTAAAGTTGTCATATAGAAGAAAAAAAAATTGCTTTACAGTAATCACTATAACTAGAAATCTTACATTCAATAAGAAATAATTAACTTTTAAACATGTCCAATGAAGCCTTAAATTTATCAACCACACTCTTAAAAATAAAACAAATAGTGATAGCAATAGTAATAGAAATAACAAATATGGTAGCTAAAACACCTTATACTCTTTAGGAACTTACACCTTAAAAAATGTCTTTGTAAGTACATCATAAAAATGAAAACCACCACATCATTGTTATGCTACACAAGGTGGTTTGACAAACAAACCTACGGTAATAAGATGATGATCTGAAAACATTGTCAAACCATCCAATAAAACCAGTAAGCTCGAATCAACTCGAGAAATGTCTGCAGCTAAGCCTCCAGTTCCATGGAAAAATCACAAATTGCACTAACAATTGTAGTGTAACTAGTCCTTTGCAGGCCTTGCTTCAAAACCGCCTTCGGCTCGCTTTACAAGATCGAAAGGCATGTATGTTCCGAGAAGTTTATCCCATATCAGAAAGAATGGTTGCGAATAATTGTATTTCAGTCCTTGTAGTTGATGATGAATGTCATGATACGCCGTGTTATTCTGGAAAAATAAATGGAAGATGTTCCCGGGCAACCATAGTCCGCAGTGGTCGTCGACGGTTTTCACTACTGCAAAGCAGAAGAATATAACGGCCGTTCTCGCAGTCATTCCCGAGACAAGAAATGAGATGGCTCCACCAACGGTGTCGAGTAGAAGACCCTCGATAGGGTGATTGTAAAGGGCTCCTATTGCATATGGAACAACCAGTCTATGATGCTGGGAGTGAATATGGCGGTACAGAAACTTGTTCTGATGCATGTACCGGTGCACAAAGTACTGCCATGTATCCATCACAAACATGGCAATAACAATCTGAATTATTTGCTTGGTGATAGAAGGCTGCACCGTAATCCCAGATGCATTCGATGTTGTCGTCAACTGCAGAAATATACCAAACATATTAATCATTCGGCTACACAAAAACTACTTGGTTTGGTTTAGAACACAATAACTGCTGTTTCTCTATCCGACATTTTCATAACGATATGACAGCAGTAACTTTATTGTAGCGCTTCGCTAAACTATACAGCGTTCAATTCAGTATTAAAAGCAGTAAGCAGGTTTATTAATATAACTGCTCCTATGTATACAAATTTTCAATTCACTGGGTTGTACATTTTAAGAAAATAGAAGTCAGAAATATAATTAACTTCTGTGGAATGTTAATCAGTTTGCCAAACCAAACAAAAAAAAGTCTAGTGTTTTAGATACAATCAAATGTTATCACTTCAACTGCTTGGCACGAGGACGACAAAAGTTCAGGATTCTAAATATGGGTCGAGCAAAATTCAGGGTCCACTTAAAAAGAGAGCTTATTGGTCAACTAGACTATAACAGAAGTTATGAAGAAAAATCTCGAGATTAACAATCCGGATAGAAACATGGTTCTGAATAGAACATTATGGCGGGAGTTGATCCATGATCCATGTAAAACGGGTTCAGTTTCAAATAAAAATACATTTAATTTCCCATAGAGTTCAAGGATAACCAAAGAATTCAAACAACACATAAAATATGAATATTATAGCTCAAGGGCTCAACAAACCATGCCTAGTTTATTACAGAATATCTGAGTGTATCAAGTTAGAAAAAACAAGTTGAAAGCCCATCTTTTATGACAAAGTCCATTTTTTGCAGCTCTATGGTGAATATGGAACACCTGTTAAGTGATTATTGTACTAATAAAGTAACACAGAATGCTCTCGACTAAAACCAGAATAAGATTTTCAACTATGATAAACTCAATCAGGAATATCATTACTAGAGATTAACTCAAATGTATAAAAGACTAACCAAGATGAGTGCAACAATTGCCTGAACAAGCTGCTGAAGCAAAACACCTTTCACAACAGCTTCAAAAGGCACCAAATTCTTCTCTCCCTCGTCTCTCATAGTATGCAACCGATACTTATCTAAAGGCGGAAGCAAGTGATAAAATCCAGCATATATCCAATAAATCACAATAGGAGCAAACGTTCCCATCACTTCATCACTCACATACCCTTCCCAGAAAACCATTATACAAAATCAAACCAGTGGAAAAAACAGCTCAATTTTAAGCAAAAAACCAAAAAAGCAGCAAGTCAAAGCTGCATTATACACCTAAAGATCTCAACTTGAACAAGTACCTTCAAACCCTGAAAAAGTAAAATAAATAAACAAAAACGTTAAGGTTGTTTTGTCTAGCACACAGAATAAGAAAGAAAAAAGACAGACATAGCCTCCATCGTTTGTTTGGAAAAACAAAAAGAAACCTAAAAACTTGAAATTTTGTAACTTTGAAAGAAAGAAAAAGTAAAAAATGGAAGTTTAGAAGAATGTAGAAGAAACCCAGAAGAGAATCTGGTATAATTCCTTACCGAAAATTATGAAAAGGGTTTCAAAAATGAAAGTTTTAGAGGTGGAAAAAGCAGAAATCTGGATCAGATCTAGGATAAAGAGTGATGACAGTTGTGAGATTCGAATTCCAAAAGTTTGAATTTTAATTTGGAAGTTGAATTATTGGGTTTTGTTACCCTAATATTGTATCTCCCCCCAAACGTGTTTGGGAGAAGGGAAAATGATTGAACCATTTTGGTTTTGGCCCCCCATTTCGTCTTTTGTGTTTGCTTGTGTTTTATCATCATGCCGTTCGATTCTTTTTTATTTTATTTTGGGGGGTTTTGATAATAAATTAAAGATGTCATTTTTGTGTGGAGAAAATAATCTTTTTAAATTTTTGAAAAATTGAGTATATATATAATATGCAATTGATTTAATATACTTTTTCTCTAAAGATTATATCAACAAAGTTATGGTAATATTGATGAAGATTGATTTTCTAGAGGATCAATTTTGTGTTTCAATTCAATTTCAAATTCTAATGTTAGACAATGGAATATTAGATTTTGAGATAATATGAAATTCAATGTGGGAGATAAAGTCTAAAAGGTCATATCCAACCTGAGAATCGTTGCAAAGGAGAAAGTTAAGGACTATATGAAGAAGATTTTAGAAATTGAGAAGCAAGACAAAGAAAGAAAGGAGTTTCCGAGGGTGGAAAAACAAAGAAAATCATGAATATAGTTTCGCTAAATATTAGAGGAGGTGACAACAAAGCGAAGTGTAGAAGAATCAATTAATTAGTAAGTTCAGGTAAAGTAGATCTCTTACTCTTGCAATAATCTAAGCTTTTTGTGCTTGAGGATTCTATTGTTAGTAGCTTCTGGATTAACAAAGAGATAGGATGGTCTAGTAATGATCCAGTTGGTCAATTAGGTGGTATTATTACAATTTGGAAGATGGGTGAAATTTTTCCTATTTTCAGTTTCAAAGGCGACAGTTTCCTATAAATTAAAGTGAAGTGGGGGGACTATAATTATTTCATTGTCAATGTTTACTTTTCATGCAACATTATTCCGAAGAGAAAATTATGGAAGGATATCCTTGAGATTAAAAATAATTTTTTATGGGGAATGGATAATATAGGAGATTTTAATTATATATCTAGTAATGCAGAAAGGTTGGGCTGCCCTAGTAATAGAAAGAACTCAGAGATTAGGGAATTCAGAGATTTCATAGGGAACACAAACCTTATTGACGTGCTCTACTCTAGAAATAAATTTAGTTGGTTTAATGGAGATGGAAGGTCAACGAGTAGGTTAGACAAGTTCCTCTTATCTGACTTTATCATTGATAGATGGGGGTTGTTAGCTGGTGCATAGAAAAGAGGGTCATTTCAGACCATTGTCCTATTTGGATAAAGACTAACAAGCTGAATTGGGATCCCAAATCCTTTAGAGTCAATGATGGTTGGTTTGACAACAGAGATTTTCTCAAAATTGTGGAGAAGGAATGGGCAGATTTCAAAGTGGAAGGTAGGAAAGACTATGTTATGAAAGAAAAATTGAAGTTGTTAAGGAGTAGTATAAAGAAGTGGAATAGAGAAGTCTTTGGGTGGATCGACTTGGAGGCAGATGAAGGGTTTGATGAGGCAAATGCCATTGATGAATTATTGGCAGTTTGTAAGAAGGAGGAGGTTGATGAAATTGTAAACAGAAGCAAGGCCATTAGAATTATATGGAACAAACTCACCCTTAAAGAGAACATGTTTCATCAAAAGTCCATATTGAAATGGGTAAGAGATGTAGATTGTAACACCAAGTACTTTCACTTAATTTTGAAAATGAGAAACATGAGGTAATTCATAGGCTCTCTGAACTCGAGTGAAGGTGTTTTAGAGTCTGTTGGAGAAGTGAAAGAGGAAATTAGTAGGCACTTTTGCGAAACTCTCAAGGAACCTAATTTTTGTAGGCCTTAGATGGAAGATATTATCTTTATAAGCTTGTCTTAAGTTGATAGAAACTCACTAGAAGAGCCTTTTACTGACAAGGAAATGAGGGGTGCAGTTTGGGCATGTGAAGGTTCCAAGAGCCCTAGGCCCAACGAATACAACTTTTATTTCACTAAAAATAGCTGGAGCATTATTAAGGAAGGCATAACCAATTTTGTGAAGGAATTCCATAGTAAGGTTAGATTGAATAAAGGTATAACATCTTCATTCCTCACCCATATTCCTAAGGATCCAAATCCTCAAGGTCTAGATGAATTTAAACCCATTTGCCTGGTAGGAAGTCTCTAATAGATTCTTGCAAAACTCCTAGCTTCCAGATTGAAAAAAATCTCGAGTACCCTAATTTCTCCATGCCAAACAACTTTTGTCCTAGTGAGACAATTATTAGATGAAAAATCTAGTTGCTAATGAGGTCATTGACTTAGCTATTGGAACTAAACAAGATTGTCTGCTCTTCAAGGTCGATTTCAAGAAAGCTTATGATAGGGTCAGTTGGAACTTCCTTATGTTCTTGGTGAAGAAAATGGGGGTTGGTGTTATTTGGATGCAATAAATGGAGGCATGTGTATTCACTAGCCATATGTGTGTCTTAGTGGACGGGGGCCTTACTCTGGATTTTGAGGTAGATATGGGTCTAAGGTAGGGTGACCCATTATCACCTTTCCTCTTTCTGTTATTAACTGAAGGGCTTGCATGTTTGGTTAGGAAGGCTGATGCGTGATTCGCAAGTTCACGAATAGCGTCAAAGTAATATAAAAGATTATCGATCCCACAGAGACCAAACGTCAATCTATCGTTTGCTAGTGTTACGGTGCTTATCTAAGGCAAATCAAATAAAGGGTTGAGTTGTGCGAAATAAAAGTAAAGTACGGAAATAAATTCAATAATAAAACAACAAGCATAAATGCAATTCATATAGCTACGTAGTATTTCAAATGTGTACAGATATGATGCCTTATGGGGTAATGTTTTCTACTCATGAAAAGAACTAATTTAACGGGAAATGTCGCTTTCGCGTAATCAGAACCGAGTTTATCCCTAATCGATCCCTCTTATTGTCACTTATAAAAAGGTGCGTATTGCGTTAGGATTAATAAACCTATTTTTAAGAAATATAGTTTCATGACTTAGTTGAAAAGTATTTTAACCTGTAATTTCTAACAAAAAGAGGTTCTTGCCAACCGGACTTTAAATTCACAAACGCGTCCAAAAACAGTTTTAAAATCGGTTTTCTTAAACATTAAAGATTCCTAATTAACTGAGCCAAGCGCTTTCGCTTCCTTGGAACAGTCAAAACTAACCAAATTTATCTATAGGTTGGACAGCTTTCGATCTTACCCAACAGATTTTAAGTACAGGAAATAAGTGTTAAAAGTTAAAATAACCCCTAAGTAATTCTATCGACAGCCGTATGGAATACTATTATAACTATAGTCCTTGCATCCTAGCCTTTAAGATTTAGCCGGACATGGTAAATAAATGCGAGTAAATAAAGTGCGGGTAAATAAATAAAGTGCGGTAAAGGGTGCGAGAAATAAACGGTGCGAGAAGTAAAAGCGGTACGAGAAATAAACGGCGGATAAATAAATAAAAGGCGATAAATAGACAGAAACTTGCTCTAAACGAGAGGCTTTAAAATCTTGTACAACTGGAAGTAAAAAGACTAAAATAAAATGGCGGCAAGATTAACTTCTACCCAAGTGCTCCAAACCCGATTACAGACTCGATTAAACAATGTGATAACCCCTCGATGCGAGAAGTTTATCACTTTACAATAGGTGAAATTTATGGCTTGAGTTATGTAACTAAGCTTGGATGATTAGAAATGAAACAAAACTCCTCTATTTATAGTGGTAGGAAAGTACAGGTAAGGACAAGAATGCCCCCAAACTTCTTTTGGAAGGGAAACGAGCATGTGAAGGTGGCGCCCGTGTAGTACCTCAAATTTTGTCATACCTTTACAGGGTTTCTAGTGCCACTTTATTTTGAATGAATAAAATAGCACAATTGGCAAGAGACCGTGTCTAAGGAGTTGTGAGTGTGAGAGGTTGAGAGTTCGAATCCCACCTTCTTCACTTTTTGTTTTGTTTCTTTTATTTTTAGTCTAACTTTTCTATTTTCATAAAAAAAAAAAAAATAGTTTTTTATTATTTAATTATTATTTTCGTATTTTATTTAAATTATTTTTAAAAAATATTATTTTTTCACTTTTTTCCATATTATTCATAAAAACATCCAAAAATCATAAAATTAAAAATATTAGAAAATATTTTATTCTTTTTATAATATTTTTAATGTTTAGTATAAATAAATAGAGTTTTAAGTTTATTTTAATTTGTTTAAATTTTATTTAGTTTTGACTAATTATTTAAGTTGGGTTGTAAAGTGGGGATTAGATTAGAGTTAACCCTAATTTGTTACCTATATAAACATGAGTTGCATTTGAGAAAAGAGACCGAAAGAGCTGAGGAAGAGTTTTGAAGAAGAGAAGGTTCAGAAGATCAACAAGAATCATCATCACCTTCCTTCATTAAGCATCATCATCAACAAATTCCAACCGCTAACGAGGTGAGCATTTAATTTTGTAAATAACGGAATTCCTGGGTTTCATTTTTCAGGTTTCAGCAAGACAATGAGGGAGGGATAACAGGCAAAGAAGAAGGAAGGGAAAGGCTTCGAAAATCGT